GATCATCTACATTTGCCTTCTNAATAATAATAATAAAGGGAGAAATGTGGGATCCACATATAAATCAAGTATAAAAATCAAACGAATATTCATATTTGACCTGCTTGTTTATAGTTCATAATGCGTGATCAGAACCGAAAGTTTCTGTGATGACTGCCCTTGTACTGTTCACCGTGTAAGAACTTGTTCACTATGTAAGAACTTGTTCGTTATGCTTCAGAAGATTGGAGACTGACGAGAACTAGGCTTGAGATGGATTAATGATTGTGCATTGAGCATTGACCCCCCCAATACAGAATTTTATTGTTGTTAACCATTTGATCAATAAATATGAGAGATGCCCTCTCAAAAAAAAAAAAATATTTCTGGAAATTATGTGGAGAATATTATGAGCTACATGGCGACCAGATGTTAAGTAGAGCAGTGAGTTAGGAAACCCTTTCAGTAATATATATATCTGATGTATATTTAAAATGCCAGCTTACAGTATAGCAAAAACATTGAAAAATATTCAAATTTTTGAAACATCAATTCTACTTTTTATAAATATATGCTAAATAAGTAATTATGGTGTACTCTGAGTTTTAGATAATATTGCTGTAGTAATATTAAAATAAGTTGTTTAAAAATTTAAATATCCAAAATGGACATTTAAATATATTGCCATATGATATAATATCTTTCCCACTAAAACTATGCTTTAAAATTATATATCATGATGTAATATGTTGTATCTAATACATTGCTTAATAACAGATTTTTTAAAAAACTTAATTTTGAGTCAACATGACAGGGTTAAGCAATTTATAGAATGATTTCCAGCACAGCAATAAAAGCTTTACCTCAGCTAGGTTAGGTGATAGGCTGCAGGGAATTATTTATAAACAGCATCATTACTAATGTTTTTGTGAATTGAGGTCACTTGGATAAAGATCCTTTAATTTTTAACTTACAAATGTTAAGGGTGGTATTGCTTTTTATGTACTTTATTTCATAAGTTTTTTAATTATGTAGTATTTCAGGTAAGTGTAAGAAATATATAACCAGGGTCCTACCATTAGATTGAACAAATGTTAAAATAACACTTCTGTGTCAGATTTGTTTTGACTTGGTCTTTTTAAGGAAATAAACATGTATATAGCCATTTCCTTACTGAGGTACAGTAAGATTTTTTTCTCATCTTTTACTATCTGTGAAGGCTTTTCTAGAACATATCACTAGAAGTGGAACTGTTGGAATTACGAGATATTCCCGTTTTCAGTTGTATCCTAGGTTTTACAAAACTTTTCAGTAAAGTACTTGTACCAGTTTAGTCTCCCACCAGTATGTAAGAGTCCTTGTGCCCCATATTCTTGCCAATACTTGCAAGATTCACTGAACTGCCAACTGATGGGTTTGAAATAGAGTCTTTGATGTTTTTTAATTTGTATTTCTGTGATTGCTATTGAGGTTGGTAATCTTTCTTAATTGGCCATTTCCACTTCCCTTACTCTATTGCGTATTCATAGCTTTTACCAACTTCCTATTGGTGGTAAGGGCAACATTGTCTTTTTTTCTTTTGATTTGAGGTGCCTTTATTCTGAATACTTAACTCTTGATATTTATACAGATTGCAGATGTCTTCTCCTTGTCCATGGATTGTATTTTCACTAAAAAGAACAGACTAAGGTGAAAATTAATGAACTTCAGTTCTACTATGTGGATGTCTCAGAAACATTTGAGTAAAAAGAACAGACTACAGAAAACTATAGTGTGATACTAATTTTATTAACCAAGCAAACCCAATTATATATTATTTAGGTGTACAAGCATACGTGGTAAAATTCATTTTTAAAAAGCAAAGGAATGGCAAACACCGAATTTAAGAGACAGGTAACCTATATGAGAGGCAGAGAGCAGGGCTAAGAGGGCATTATTAGGTGTGGGGAAAATGGTGATATTCTAGCTCTTGCTTGGGCAGCAGGTGTTCATTAGCAAAGAAAAATACAATAAAGCAAAATAAGGCCATGCATGAACCAATGACTAGTGTGTCATGAATCAAGAAAATTAAGTAATTACATTCTGTGCCTTTGAAATCCATTTTTAAAATCAATTTTTAAAGGCTGAAAACAACATTTTTCCTTAATCCCACTACACACAGTAAGCAACTCCTCTTAAAAGCCTCAGTGAATGACCTTATTTGTAGCTTTTTAATGAAGTATGAAGTGTTGCTGGTCTTGTCAACAAACAGTCAAGCAAGTGCTATGCCACTTGTAGCAGCTCTAAGGTCAGAGAAATGGTTTTGAAAACCTTGGCTGGGAATGTTAGGGAAGAAACAGAAAAGGTGTCAACTAAGGCTCCTTGGGGACAGTTTTCAGTATATTTTTAAAATCTTCCAAAAGATTCATTGAAATTCTAGGAAAAAACAAGTATTATGAAGTAAATGTTTATTGTATCCATATCTTAAGTCCCATTTATTTTGTAACATGATTTGCATTTTTCTTCTATGTGGTTCATTATTAGAATTTTTTTTGGTATCATTAATATATTACATGAGCAACATTGTGGTTACTAGATTCCCCCCATTATCAAGTCCCCACCACATACCCCATTACAGTCACTGTCCATCAGCATAGTAAGATGCTGCAGAGTCACTACTTGTCTTCTCTGTGCTATACTGCCTTCCCCATGCACCCCCCCACTAGAATTTTCTTTATAACTTTATATAGCCCTCAGTTTCTGCATAAAACCAGTCATTTTGATTTAGAAACAGCAACCAAAAAATGGAATTTGGAAGGATAGACTATATGTGCAGTTAAAGCAGCATCCCATGAGATGCGAGACAAGCAAATACACAATGTCTGCCATCTCATGGAGCCGTGTGTGCTCCACAGGGGGACCACATGGTCCACTGTAAAGTGACGGGACTTAGGAGTAGAGAGAAAACCCATCTCATAAGTCCCTGCTCTGGTTCCAACTAGTTGTGTACTTAGGAACCTGTTTCCTCATCTGTTGAACTCAGGGACCAATACCTGCCTTCCCTACCTCATGATTATCATGATGGCATATATTTGTGAATAGTCCATAATCAAGTCAGAGGGCAGTTACAGGAGACCACTGGGATGCACACGGGACATTTACATCCACTTTATAACACTTGGGGCATGATTTTCCTATTTCTAATGACCACAGAATTTAGAGTTTATTTTTTCACTTCTGACAGAAAGCATCATATCTGCTGTGTTTGGTGTCAAGTCCCTAATCAGGAAAGTAACTCCAAGTTTAACCATGTTCTCATGATAGAAAATACCCACTTTGCAGAAACCTGTTTTATGATGATCCAATTTATGTGGTAGTTTCTAGAAAATTTTCATGAGGACACTGAGGATTTCCAGTCCCTGAAATATTAATTATGAGTCAGTGTAATACATTGGGGCTTCACTTTACACTGTAGACAGTAAAATCATGCCTGTGCAATGCGTACTTGTCCCCAATACTTCACATTATCATTTCAAAAACACTTTATCCTTCTGCTTGATCACCCTTTAAGGGTGCTCCCAAAATGTCAACTCAAAACTTCTCTGCCGTTCAGCTTCTCTGACAAGTAAGTAAATAAATCCTTAAATGTCCTCAAGAATCTGCCATTTGAAGAAATACTATTAGAAACTGAAGAATCCTTCTGAAAGGCAAATATTTTCCTTGTTACCAAACTGGCCTGAAGTGTTATACTGGGCTTTCTGGAGGCAGCAAGCCCCTCGTGGAGCTCCAGGCTTGCCTGTAGTTGCTCTCATTGTCTTTCAGGGAAAACGCATCCTAGAAAATTTTTATCTCTTATTTTTTCAAAAGGGGCAGGAGAAAGATTGAAAATAGTTAGGTCTGGCAGCTTAATCTGGGTTGGCTGTTTTTGCCAGCAATCTGTAAAATGTGTTTTTCAAGGATAAGAAGCTTGGGCCCTGGGCCAACGCTCATGTCTGTCATCAGCAGGAAGATAAACAATCAATCCCTTTTAACCCACTGTTCTGCTCTGTTTACCTTTGTGCTTGAACATGAACACCATGCCTACCACAGGCCCAGAGCTGCTCAGAGTTGGTTCTTTACTCTTCCCAAACAGCTTTCATGTCCTCCAGTTGGGTGAGTATGGCAGGGCTCACCTTTCATGGTGTGAAACTAAACTAAACCAGCACCCATTCCTAGGATTGCTATCTAGCTTTTCATGCCACCTATGTGGCTCCGGAAGGGAACTTGAAGTACTCTTGCTTTGTAATGTCCACAAACGTCATTGCCTAAGAGCTCGGAAGAATGTATCCATGCCTATGAAGAACCAATGGCTGCCAACCACCGAGAGTCTCTGGGGCAAGAATTTCTGGTGAAATCTGGTGTTCATTCCTTTTGCAAAACTTCATTCTTGCACTTAGCAGTGGCAGTACAGGCCAACTACTCTGTTGAGTCTTAAAGGGATGTTTGCTAAACCATGTTTCCTGTTTCCTGTGGAACTTAACCACCGCAGCACTAAAGGTGTCAGGGCAGAGGGTTAAGGCATGAGAAAGGGATAGTACTGCCAACAGGGTAAGGTGCTTGGCCCCTTCCTCCTCACCCTCGTCTGCCCTCCCTCCCCTCCCTGGAAAGCTGTTTCTTTAGGGGTGGAAAAGCCGGGGTTCCTAGCTCCTGCAGAAGTTGCACAAGGCCAGTGTGGGGTTTCCCTCCCTCCCGATTCCCACCCTACCTCTGTTCAAGGCCAAGTGGGACAGCCCCAACCATGAGGCTCTGACCAGGAGACACTAAAAGAGGGACTGAGAGTAAACCATCGGCTTAGTCCAGCATCTCCGAGCCCTGCTTCTCTAACTGGCATACCAGGATCTAGGAGGACAGAGCTGCGGAGCTGGAGGAGGCGTATGGTGGGAAGGACAGGAGGAGCCACAGAATCAAGACAGCATGATCTCAATTCTACTCAAAGATCTGGAAAGGGGAGATTAAAATTTTAAACTTCTAACATTGCGTTTGAATAAAAACAAACCTTTTTTTCCTGAAGTTGGATCCAGCTAAACCCATTGTTTGTATTTAAGAAGCAGTGACCCACAGCAGCGCGGCGGTTCCTGCGGGCCCTGGAGCACCGCCCATCCTGTCGCCCCCGGGCCCTCAGGGAGGAGCTGCGCCGCGGGGGCCACGGGCGGCTCTCGCTCCGAGAGCTCGCAGCCTGCTCCGGGGAGGCAGGTTCACGGCGCCTTCAGTGGCTCAGACTGCGGCTCGGACACGGGTCCGCGGCGGGTGTCCGGGGACCTCAGAGAAAGCTGGAAGGAGCGGGCAGGGCACTGGATCGCTGGACCGCGGGGAGCCGGGAGCCCGCTGCCAGGCCGTCACACTACCCTGGGCGGTGCCCCGCCTCCTGCGCCCCCGCTTCCTCACCTGCCCCGGAGCAGCGTCCGAGGCAGGGGATCCACAGCCCTGGCCGGCCTGGGGTGTCTGTGCTGCCCCCACGCACACCTCTGCAGAGCTTCTTGCTCTCAAAGGACCGCCCCGCCTGACTGCAGGGCGGGTGCCAGGCGGGGATGTTGGGGTGAGTCAGAAACCGAAGCCGGCCGCTGCTGCCTAGGCAGCCAGGAACTGCCTTGAGAGGAGGAAGCCTTGGTTCTGAACTCCTGCCAACTGGGCGGACGAGCAGGCCTACTGGAATTAAGGGTAGGCATTCACCGGGGGATCCAGAGTGGTTCTGGCTGTGGCGAAGGTGCTGGATATTCCTCCTGGGAGGGTGGACGGCCCTGGAGAGCAGCCCCACTTCCATTCATTGCTAGGCAGTACCTGAAAGGACTTGCACCTCAGCTGGCATCCCCCACCCAAACCTGGCTCCATCCTGTGTGAAGATGAACGTTTAGGGACCCCTGCCTCATAAGCACCTTGTCCTCCTGCAGGCAATGCCATTTTCAAGACTGATATTTAAGTCCTTCTGAGAAATTGCTGCCCATCTGTCAAGATTTAACCGTGGCCAACTCCTACCCATTTTGGGGGCTTCCAATACCCTGTGCGCACATCTCAACCAGAGCTTAAAAGCACAGCCTAGCAATTTATCTGTGGACATGTCCCTGATGGGGACACCAGGCCCCAAGCAGATTCTGAAGGACAGAAACTGTTCAGTGTGGAGCTTGCATCACCTAATCCCGAGGCCTCTACCAATGCCAAGGTTCTGGGAATGGTTCAATCAGTCCCAAACACTCTTTTCTCAGCTCTTCTCATTTTAATGTTTATGGCCTCAATTCCTTCCTTCCACAACAGTTTACTTACCTATTTACAACTCACTTATCTTATTGAATTATAGTATTGCATCATCAGGGATAAGCAAGTGAAAAAATGTTGATACTCTGGCTACTATTTCTTGGAGTAATAAACTGTCCTCAGATCCAGGGGTCTCATATCTTCTACCAACATCCATACAATTGTGACAGGCTAACTCATGAGCCTAAGCCTGCAAGTAGGGTCCTTCACAGTTCTTGACAGCAGGCAGCACCACAGGTAGAGAAAATGGTATACGCAAAGGCTCTGAGGCCTGTAGGGGCATGGCCTATTTTAGGAATTACCAGGAGAGTAGATCGACAAGGGCATACACTTGGGAGGTAGGGTGGCAAGCAATCTTTTTCTTCAGGCTTCTGCTCAACTATCACCTCCCAGAGTAACCTTCCCTGACTATCTGATCTATCTGGGAGCTATGGAGTCCCTTTGAAGTATTTTATGATTTGCGTTTTAGGGCAACGATCCCTTTAGCAGTGTGGAGAGCTCATTAAAGAAGAGCAAGACCATGGAAGGTCAAGTAGGAGGTTAGTGTGTCATCTAGGAGGATGATACTAGTCTGGATCTAGGGGTAGAGAAAAATGGGAGTGTTAAATCTATTAAGGATGTAAAATTGACAGGAGTTACTGATCGATTGGATGTGCGGTATAGGTGAGTAAGAGTTACAGATGACTATTGAAGTCTAAGGGAAATGGGGCACACTTTGGGGGAGAATTTCAAAGGGGCAAGATTTTGGCTTCATGTTATCTACAAAACCGTGGAAACATTGATTGACATAAGTCCAATGTCAAGTGGTCTGTGCCAGTGCCAAAATCAGAGCATGGCTCAATGGAGGAATGCCTGAGGCCTGTGGCTCAACCCCAAAGAGAAGCAGGTTATGGGGCTCTCTGATCACTGAGGCCAGCTCTGGGTTGGACAGGCCCCATTTAACCTGACCTTTTCACATTTCTCCAATTTCTCTTTTCTATTTCAATATCTTTATTGACATAAGTTTTTTTAATGTTTAATTTAAAGGCAGCAAAATATACAGTTCTTGAGTGCATATCTCTGTGAATTTTCATCTGTGCATACACATGTAACCACCAACCAAACCAAGATACAGAGTATCCCCATCTCCACAGAAAGTGTTGCCCCTTTCAAGTCCAAGGTAATGGTCCCCTCACCCAAAGGACCCACTACTCTTGACTTTTATCATCTTAGATCATTTTCATTGATTCTTGAACTTCATGTAAATAGAATCATATGTACTTTTTTGTGTGTACCTTCTTTTTCTTAGTAGCATAATAATTATGAGGTTCATGTTGCATGTTTCAGAAATGTAGCTGTGTACTATTCCATTGCATAAACATACCACATTTGGTTTCTATTTCTCTAAAATTTTATTTGTAATGCTCTAAATTTTCTTAATTTTATTCTTAATGCTTTTATTTCATTTTTTAAAGTTTATTAGTTTTTAGTTGAAATATCACTGATATACAATCTTACATTGGTTTAGATTATACAACAGTGGTCCAACAGTTACCCATATTATTAAATCCTCACCCCCACTGGTGCAGTTATTATCTGTCAACGTAGAAAGATGTCCCAGAATCACTGACTATATTCCACAATATTTCTCCATTCTCCTTTTGATGGGCATTTGGGTTATTTGGAATAAACCTGAAGTGAACTTTCTTGTTTAAGTCTTTTGTCTTCACTCTCTTTTGGCAATTCCAGGGAAGCTTGTGTCTCTTGTTTGTGAAAGTGTTATTAAAGGAAACTCTTCCTGACAAGGCCTTGGACTTGCTGCTAGTCTCTGCCTGAGGTAGCCTTGGGGATTGGCAGGTCCAAGGAGCCCAGGAAGGGAACTCAATTCCTAGTGACCAGGGTAACATCACTTTACCTTGATTGTTTCTTTTTTTATTGAAGATCCAGAGCACTTGGGAGAAATGCAGCAGAGGTCTTGAACAATTTTCATGCACTTAATGAAGACTTTCACACACTTCCCAAGGACCAGGACTGGCAAAGGACATGGAACCAGGACACAACTATGTACCTGGAGGGACATTGAGCTACCTACTATTTCTGGCCCTAAATCAAGAAGATGGTCTTCCTAAACACAAATGGAAAATATATTCACTTCTGTGTAATCATACTCATACTGTAAAGCATCCATCACTACTAGTATTTAGGAGGTAGTCTCCTAGTTTCTGCTAAAAGGCTTCCCACATCCTTGATTTCTGGACCACATGACATTCTAGACCTCCATTTCCCTTCTAAGCATCTTCCCAAATATTTCTGCTCTCTCAGGCAACTCTATTAGTAAATGTTGAAAGATTCCTAATGCTAGACCCCTACTCAGGCATCCCAGATCTTAGAAGAAAAAGAGGATTCTCACTGATTAAGCACTTGCTATGTGCCAGGTACTGTGAGGGCAGTTTACATCTGTTTCTTTATGTAATCTTCATAGCAACACAGTGAGATAGGTATTATCATCTGCTTTGATAGATAAGGAAACAAAACTGCAGAGAGAGATCAAATAGCTTGCCCAAAGTCACACAGGAGAACCAGGGTTGATCTCAGATACATGTTTGAATCTTATGCCTCCAGCACTCTACCCCTTAGAAACTGGGGGTGTCTGACCAGACCTCCTAGCCTGGCTCACACTGCCTCTAGGGTCTAAAAAAGTACTGTCTTTCAAATAACTGTAGAATTCCACTGTCCTTATATAACTTTATTACATAAAGAATAACCATAGGTCTTGAGGCTAAATTAATGCTAAACCAGAATCACATGTGGCCCAATGTTGAACACTTAACTTAAGGTGACAGCAGTGTCCAGTGGGGTCTTCCAGGAATCTGCAGACCCAAGGGGCCTACTCTGAGGCTTGGAAATGCCCAGAGCTAGCTGCCCTGGCTTTCCTGTTACACTGCTTAGCAATCAGGGAGGTCCCAGGACAGGGGTTAACACCCCCTTCAGGAATGAGGGTAGCTAGGGTCCTCAGGGGAGCTTCCAGGGAGCTGCTCAGTGGCTAGGAAGGTGCTAAGGGGTGCAGCCCAGCTGGAGGCCAGGCCTCAGATGACAGTTAACCAGAGGGCCAGCCTGCCAGGGCTGTGATTAGGGCTGGTCCCTCCCAGGAGCCCTGCTAATGATCCTTTGTAGCAGAGCTTGCATAATTCCATACTTCCTAATTTCTGAAAAGAATGAATCGCTCTCCCTTCTGTTTGCCTAGAAGAAGAGCTTATTTTGATAAAAACCTCCAGGGAAAGTCATAGAAAATCACTTAAGAAAAACAGAGACTTTTAAAAGAACGTTCTGAGCCTGTCAAGCGGAGTAATTTGCAGTCGACAAGGGGCACGCTGAGGTTGGGAGAAGCCTTCCAGAGGAGTGTGCAAATAGGCCACAGATCATTCTGAAAAGGAAGCCCACTCATCCCAGGACACTGGATTTCAAATAGAACAGGGAGCCCTGGAGGCAGAGAAAGGTGGCTGGGGACAAGAGTAAATGACTGCTTCTCTCTCTCTGCTTCGGACTCGGCCCTCAGACACACCTCAGAGTCTCCCGAGATGTCTCTTAAGTCACCGATGTCACCATGGCCGGCGGGACCCTGTCGCTGGACGCTCCGCCAGGAGGCCCCATCCACTGGAGTCACCGAACTGACAGACTGTTTGCTTTAAGGGACAAAGGCACGGAGTTGAGACTAGGAAGAGGGGGCTGCAGGGGATTCCATTCTAGCCGCAGTAGGACCCCCCAAATGGCCAGACCCAGAGAAAAAGGGGCCCCCAAGGTACCTAGCCCTCCAGTCGAGCCGAAAGGTGGGCAGTGTACCCAGTGCAAGCTGCTGGCTCTGACAGCCGCAAGCAGATTCCCTGTACAAAAAGGGAAAGGAGGGAAAAGGCTATGAATGCTGGCCTGGCTCCCAGAAGCGAGGCTGCCCAGAAAAATGGAAACAGCTGCTCACCCACACGACCAGTGGGCTTGGCAAGCGCAGGTCAGAGCAGGCTCCAGAGCAGGAGGCGGAGCCCCGGGTTCGGGTCCCTGGGGCTTGTCCCTTAGTTGCCATAACCACGCCCGCCCCACCCCTTCAAGGCTCGGCTCACACGTGGTGGGAGTAGCAGGAGCTCTGGGCTGGGAGTTTTCAGTCCGGCAGAGTGCCTAACTAGCTTCATCACGGGAGCAGTGACTCACGTCCCCTGGGCCCAGGAGGGCCCTCTAACCAGATGAGGTTTACTGTGAGGATGCCCACAGACCTTCCAGCCCTGACAGCTGGCCCATCGGGCCTCCTGCTCTCACAGCCGACTCCCCGCGGGACCTGGGGAGCCAGCGCAGTAACAGCTCCCCGCTGCCGGGATGGTGGGGACCTGTTCTGCGCACTGTGTAGGATGCCCCGCCCCCGTGCATAGGGTGCCCCACCCGCCGTGTATAGGATGCCAAGTGCCCCCCCACCGTGTGTAGGCGGTCCCGCCCCCCTTGAGACAGGGCCTGGCCTCCTGTACATCGCACGTCCCCAGCAGTTCTGGGACCAATGGAGACTTGTAAGTATTTATTGCCTGGTTAATCATGGGCCCCGCTAGAGCCGATTATTTGGTGTCCAGCGAATCCTGGTTCCAACTGGAGCTGCGAAGTCGAGATAAATGCCGCTGCCTCTGTATGGCTCAGCTTTCTGCGATATAAAATGTGGCTGATGAGTGGATTAAACCAAGTAACACATGGCAAGCAGGAGGGGGCCCAAGCAACTGGAATCCTTGCTCACTTCCCTCTAGAGTCAGGGAAAGAAGCCGGTTAAGCCTAGGGGGGCAGGGGCCTTATTGCTTTTAGGGCCACATATGTCACTGGGGAGTGGATGGTGCATCTGCTGGGCTCGCACCTTCGGGAGCGGCCTTATGCTGAGGCTGTAGTTCCATGGTGAGGTGGTGTGCAGCACCTTACTTAAACACAGCGTGGGGTGAGCCCTGCTCCTGTGAAGGGGCCTCCTTGCATCCCAATCCTTCTGTCTCTGAAGCCCCTCACACCCCTCCAGCTTGTCTCTGAGGCTGCTCCTGCCTCGCCAGCTTCTCACCCGTGGGTGGGAGTGGAGGAGGATAGGGACATGCCTTACAGAAGGTTTCTGGAACAGAGGTGAGGATATTCAATACATGTGGCCTATTCTGATGAGCGGGAATTTAACCCTGGATTGCCCCAAACCTAAACAGGCCTTGCGGTGATTCTTTTGGGTGGGATTCTGTTTCAGTTGCTGTAGGGATAATAAATGTGCATTTCACTTTACAGGTTACAAGTACACTATTTCCTGTGATCCTCACCATAAATTGGGGGGCAGAAGGAAAGGAGTTCTTGACTCCATTTTACAAAGGCATTGAGTCCCAGAGAGGGTAAACAACTTGCCCAAAGTTCCACAGCTTATTACTGGAAGGCCTGGAATGCAGCTCCCGTGGAGACCTGGCTTCCTGAGGGAAGGAAGGAGAGACTCTCTTTGTTCTGCCTCATGTATTGAGCTTCGGTAAGACGTTTTGCATACACATGGTGTGTTTCCTCTTGGGTTCAGCTTCCCGCCCCCATGGGCAGGGAAGGGGCATGGGGTGTACATCCCCCACCACATACTACAGACCCCACCTCAGGCAAACAGTACAGAGGGGCAGCAGGGGTGGTGGCTTCTCTGGCTTCTGAGACTACTTTCAGTCTTTCCCCGGGCACACTCAGGCTGTCCCCGCAGAGCCAGGGTCTCACTTAGGCTCTGCTTGGTCAAGGGCCTGAGCAACGAAGCCCTAGGAGGCGCCTGTGACCACTGCCCCACCTCAGGCTAGTTGGGGGGTGGGGTCTGAGTTATGAAGTCAGCAGGGGCTACAAGGCACTGCCAGGCAGCTCCTGCCAAAACCGGGCTACAGGGTGGTAGTCAGGGCAGGTGAGACCTTCTGCACAGAAGGGGAACAGTGGTCCTTTCACACCAACATGTTCAGAGGCTGTTCACTCGGCCTCACTGCTGTGCAGCCCAGACGCAGTTGCGTGAATGCTGAGGAGGGTCAGGGCACAGTTGGGAGGCAGAACAAGGCCATCAGACTCCTGTGGTTTTAGATTCAAATCCTGACTCCCTTTCTTAGCATCTGGGTGATGTTGGGAAGCTGCTGAACCTCCCGTGTGCCAGTTCCCTCATTTGGAAACTGAGGACAAGTAACAGCATCTACCACATGGGTTGTGATGGAATTTAAATGAGATAGTGTGTGTACATCACTGGATGCAATGCCTGCTTACAGTGATTGCTCAGTCCATGTTCACTGTCACTCAGTAGTCAATGAAGTTAACCGTTCTCACAGCTGCAAGGCCAGGCAGGCAGAAGGCATTCTCAGGGTTGCTTATCATGCTCAACATGTCAAATGTTTCACTTTTTATTTTGTTTATCTCTGTCTCCCCAACTGGAACATCATTTCTATAAAGGAGGGATCTGTTCTGTTCACTGGTGTATTCTTGGTGCCTAAAGGACTTCCTGGTGCATAATGAAAGCTTGATTTGTTAAATGAAAGAAAGACAGAAAAAAAAGAGAGGGGCTGGGAGAGAAAGAAGCAAACTCACCTGAGGCCTACAGTTGACAAGGACTGTCCAGGGAGAGCCGCCACAGATCAAGCCTACCCTGCCTGTCAACTCTATTAGTAAATGTTGAAAGATTCCTAATGCTAGACCCCTACTCAGGCATCCCAGATCTTAGAAGAAAAAGAGGATTCTCACTGATTAAGCACTTGCTATGTGCCAGGTACTGTGAGGGCAGTTTACATCTGTTTCTTTATGTAATCTTCATAGCAACACAGTGAGATAGGTATTATCATCTGCTTTGATAGATAAGGAAACAAAACTGCAGAGAGAGATCAAATAGCTTGCCCAAAGTCACACAGGAGAACCAGGGTTGATCTCAGATACATGTTTGAATCTTATGCCTCCAGCACTCTACCCCTTAGAAACTGGGGGTGTCTGACCAGACCTCCTAGCCTGGCTCACACTGCCTCTAGGGTCTAAAAAAGTACTGTCTTTCAAATAACTGTAGAATTCCACTGTCCTTATATAACTTTATTACATAAAGAATAACCATAGGTCTTGAGGCTAAATTAATGCTAAACCAGAATCACATGTGGCCCAATGTTGAACACTTAACTTAAGGTGACAGCAGTGTCCAGTGGGGTCTTCCAGGAATCTGCAGACCCAAGGGGCCTACTCTGAGGCTTGGAAATGCCCAGAGCTAGCTGCCCTGGCTTTCCTGTTACACTGCTTAGCAATCAGGGAGGTCCCAGGACAGGGGTTAACACCCCCTTCAGGAATGAGGGTAGCTAGGGTCCTCAGGGGAGCTTCCAGGGAGCTGCTCAGTGGCTAGGAAGGTGCTAAGGGGTGCAGCCCAGCTGGAGGCCAGGCCTCAGATGACAGTTAACCAGAGGGCCAGCCTGCCAGGGCTGTGATTAGGGCTGGTCCCTCCCAGGAGCCCTGCTAATGATCCTTTGTAGCAGAGCTTGCATAATTCCATACTTCCTAATTTCTGAAAAGAATGAATCGCTCTCCCTTCTGTTTGCCTAGAAGAAGAGCTTATTTTGATAAAAACCTCCAGGGAAAGTCATAGAAAATCACTTAAGAAAAACAGAGACTTTTAAAAGAACGTTCTGAGCCTGTCAAGCGGAGTAATTTGCAGTCGACAAGGGGCACGCTGAGGTTGGGAGAAGCCTTCCAGAGGAGTGTGCAAATAGGCCACAGATCATTCTGAAAAGGAAGCCCACTCATCCCAGGACACTGGATTTCAAATAGAACAGGGAGCCCTGGAGGCAGAGAAAGGTGGCTGGGGACAAGAGTAAATGACTGCTTCTCTCTCTCTGCTTCGGACTCGGCCCTCAGACACACCTCAGAGTCTCCCGAGATGTCTCTTAAGTCACCGATGTCACCATGGCCGGCGGGACCCTGTCGCTGGACGCTCCGCCAGGAGGCCCCATCCACTGGAGTCACCGAACTGACAGACTGTTTGCTTTAAGGGACAAAGGCACGGAGTTGAGACTAGGAAGAGGGGGCTGCAGGGGATTCCATTCTAGCCGCAGTAGGACCCCCCAAATGGCCAGACCCAGAGAAAAAGGGGCCCCCAAGGTACCTAGCCCTCCAGTCGAGCCGAAAGGTGGGCAGTGTACCCAGTGCAAGCTGCTGGCTCTGACAGCCGCAAGCAGATTCCCTGTACAAAAAGGGAAAGGAGGGAAAAGGCTATGAATGCTGGCCTGGCTCCCAGAAGCGAGGCTGCCCAGAAAAATGGAAACAGCTGCTCACCCACACGACCAGTGGGCTTGGCAAGCGCAGGTCAGAGCAGGCTCCAGAGCAGGAGGCGGAGCCCCGGGTTCGGGTCCCTGGGGCTTGTCCCTTAGTTGCCATAACCACGCCCGCCCCACCCCTTCAAGGCTCGGCTCACACGTGGTGGGAGTAGCAGGAGCTCTGGGCTGGGAGTTTTCAGTCCGGCAGAGTGCCTAACTAGCTTCATCACGGGAGCAGTGACTCACGTCCCCTGGGCCCAGGAGGGCCCTCTAACCAGATGAGGTTTACTGTGAGGATGCCCACAGACCTTCCAGCCCTGACAGCTGGCCCATCGGGCCTCCTGCTCTCACAGCCGACTCCCCGCGGGACCTGGGGAGCCAGCGCAGTAACAGCTCCCCGCTGCCGGGATGGTGGGGACCTGTTCTGCGCACTGTGTAGGATGCCCCGCCCCCGTGCATAGGGTGCCCCACCCGCCGTGTATAGGATGCCAAGTGCCCCCCCACCGTGTGTAGGCGGTCCCGCCCCCCTTGAGACAGGGCCTGGCCTCCTGTACATCGCACGTCCCCAGCAGTTCTGGGACCAATGGAGACTTGTAAGTATTTATTGCCTGGTTAATCATGGGCCCCGCTAGAGCCGATTATTTGGTGTCCAGCGAATCCTGGTTCCAACTGGAGCTGCGAAGTCGAGATAAATGCCGCTGCCTCTGTATGGCTCAGCTTTCTGCGATATAAAATGTGGCTGATGAGTGGATTAAACCAAGTAACACATGGCAAGCAGGAGGGGGCCCAAGCAACTGGAATCCTTGCTCACTTCCCTCTAGAGTCAGGGAAAGAAGCCGGTTAAGCCTAGGGGGGCAGGGGCCTTATTGCTTTTAGGGCCACATATGTCACTGGGGAGTGGATGGTGCATCTGCTGGGCTCGCACCTTCGGGAGCGGCCTTATGCTGAGGCTGTAGTTCCATGGTGAGGTGGTGTGCAGCACCTTACTTAAACACAGCGTGGGGTGAGCCCTGCTCCTGTGAAGGGGCCTCCTTGCATCCCAATCCTTCTGTCTCTGAAGCCCCTCACACCCCTCCAGCTTGTCTCTGAGGCTGCTCCTGCCTCGCCAGCTTCTCACCCGTGGGTGGGAGTGGAGGAGGATAGGGACATGCCTTACAGAAGGTTTCTGGAACAGAGGTGAGGATATTCAATACATGTGGCCTATTCTGATGAGCGGGAATTTAACCCTGGATTGCCCCAAACCTAAACAGGCCTTGCGGTGATTCTTTTGGGTGGGATTCTGTTTCAGTTGCTGTAGGGATAATAAATGTGCATTTCACTTTACAGGTTACAAGTACACTATTTCCTGTGATCCTCACCATAAATTGGGGGGCAGAAGGAAAGGAGTTCTTGACTCCATTTTACAAAGGCATTGAGTCCCAGAGAGGGTAAACAACTTGCCCAAAGTTCCACAGCTTATTACTGGAAGGCCTGGAATGCAGCTCCCGTGGAGACCTGGCTTCCTGAGGGAAGGAAGGAGAGACTCTCTTTGTTCTGCCTCATGTATTGAGCTTCGGTAAGACGTTTTGCATACACATGGTGTGTTTCCTCTTGGGTTCAGCTTCCCGCCCCCATGGGCAGGGAAGGGGCATGGGGTGTACATCCCCCACCACATACTACAGACCCCACCTCAGGCAAACAGTACAGAGGGGCAGCAGGGGTGGTGGCTTCTCTGGCTTCTGAGACTACTTTCAGTCTTTCCCCGGGCACACTCAGGCTGTCCCCGCAGAGCCAGGGTCTCACTTAGGCTCTGCTTGGTCAAGGGCCTGAGCAACGAAGCCCTAGGAGGCGCCTGTGACCACTGCCCCACCTCAGGCTAGTTGGGGGGTGGGGTCTGAGTTATGAAGTCAGCAGGGGCTACAAGGCACTGCCAGGCAGCTCCTGCCAAAACCGGGCTACAGGGTGGTAGTCAGGGCAGGTGAGACCTTCTGCACAGAAGGGGAACAGTGGTCCTTTCACACCAACATGTTCAGAGGCTGTTCACTCGGCCTCACTGCTGTGCAGCCCAGACGCAGTTGCGTGAATGCTGAGGAGGGTCAGGGCACAGTTGGGAGGCAGAACAAGGCCATCAGACTCCTGTGGTTTTAGATTCAAATCCTGACTCCCTTTCTTAGCATCTGGGTGATGTTGGGAAGCTGCTGAACCTCCCGTGTGCCAGTTCCCTCATTTGGAAACTGAGGACAAGTAACAGCATCTACCACATGGGTTGTGATGGAATTTAAATGAGATAGTGTGTGTACATCACTGGATGCAATGCCTGCTTACAGTGATTGCTCAGTCCATGTTCACTGTCACTCAGTAGTCAATGAAGTTAACCGTTCTCACAGCTGCAAGGCCAGGCAGGCAGAAGGCATTCTCAGGGTTGCTTATCATGCTCAACATGTCAAATGTTTCACTTTTTATTTTGTTTATCTCTGTCTCCCCAACTGGAACATCATTTCTATAAAGGAGGGATCTGTTCTGTTCACTGGTGTATTCTTGGTGCCTAGAGGACTTCCTGGTGCATAATGAAAGCTTGATTTGTTAAATGAAAGAAAGACAGAAAAAAAAGAGAGGGGCTGGGAGAGAAAGAAGCAAACTCACCTGAGGCCTACAGTTGACAAGGACTGTCCAGGGAGAGCCGCCACAGATCAAGCCTACCCTGCCTGCAGTTTTGTCTTTTATTTAATTTGAATTTTTTAAAAATCATGATTATTAGACAGAAAAACTAATAATGTACTTAGAAATGTTTGTCTGTGGATTAAGAATGAGACGATCTGTTGTTTGTTTACATTGTTGAGATCCAGTTAGTAAAAATACTTGTGTTAAATAAAGTCACCAAGTTCTAGATTTTTTTTTTTTGTTCTTCCTGCTTGAGGCTGAAGGTCATACTACTTCCTCTTCACTGCTGTGTATTGGCTCCTTCACAGTCAGTTCTCAATCTTTTTTAGGTGGTGTTTCGCCTTGTTGCTCTATAAGAGGCCTCCCTTCAAAATCATAGCCAAACCAAAGCAGAGGGTCATTAGAGCTGCATTCCTGCTGCTAAACTATATAGATAACATTCTCTTAGCTGCTTTCTGGATCCTGTTTATTGTTTTAAAAATATAACTCAGGACCAGCCTGATGGAAGAGATGCAGAGGGCAAGGGCCGGAGGGAGGGCGTCTCTCCCCATATCTCCACACATTCACCATCTGGATGAATGGTGTTCCCCTGCCTGCTGTTTTCGCAAGTTCCTCCATAAATAGGGGCAGCCACAGTGGCCTGGTCTGGCTTGGAGAACATCCAGGGTAGGACCCAAGGGAAACAATGGAGCTGTGACCAATGTCTGACAGCAGATCGGCAGGGAAAACAGACCCTCAGTCACACCTGCCTAAAGGTGTCAGCAGCTCCTGGCAGCAGTGAGTGGGAGGTAGTGCCAAGACCCCACTGCTCAGTGTGTATCGGCTGGATACCCCATTTTGCAGAAGTTCACCATAGACTAAGCTCTGTCTCCTCCACATCCCAAGCCTAGGCTCAGCCATTTCCGGACACTGCCTTAGCTGTCTGTTTAGTTCTGAAAGGCCACTCAGAAAAGGCTTCTGAACCAGGTGTGCCCCAGAGGAAAAGGGCAGGAAGGTTCTGGAGTGAGTAGACCAGTTAGGAGCAGGGCCTCCCCAACACTGGCCCCGGTCTGCATGCTCCTTGTCACACGCGGCTTCTGCCTCACCAGTGGCACTTCACTGCTGCCCACAAGGGAAAAGGGAGATTGGCTGTCAGCTGAGGGAGCCCCTCTTTTACCTGGACTGGGTCTAGGAGGTGCTAATTGTTAGCATATTTACCTTGTCATAAACAGTCTGCCCTAAGTTCCCCATGGGCTTGTGAGGTAAAGTGGACCAACTTTCCCTTTGAAAAGATGTCCTTTCATCCCCACTGGCCAGACTGAGACCTAGGAAAGGAGACAAGGGAAGGTGCTGAGAAGGGGGCGGGGGCAGGGACCTGCCATCCCCACCACCATGGGGACAGGAAGGGAAAGGGCAGGTGTCCCTCTCAGGCTCCCACAGTGGGGAAGGATACTTGACCAGAGGCTCTGCAGAGCTCAGGAGCTGGGCTTCCCAGGGAAGTGCTACAAGAAGAGCTCTCCAGTCAGGGAGCACCTAGAATGCCTCCCCGGAGGAAATGCATCTCATCGTGGTCTGGGGTGCATCCTGACCCGGTGAGAAGTTCCTTTTGTGTACTTACCTATGTGTTTCCTCTTCAGTGAAATGCCTCTTTGTAATTTCTGCCTTTTTTCTACTTAGCTGTAGGTCTCTTTCCTAAGTCCTCCACCCCGCCAAGAGGACTCTTGGTATTTTCTTGATTCTAATCCTTTGTCACTTATGTATTACACATATCTTTTCCCAGTTTGCTTACCTTTTGAGTTTCTTTAAAGTACCTCTGATGAACTAAGGTCCTTAAATTTAATGTAGTTGAGGTTATTAATATTTTATTGTATATTGTATTATTGTATGGTTTGTGATTGTGTGATTGCCTGTGTGTGTGTGTGTGTGTGTGTGTGTGTGTGTGTGTGTGTATCTTCGTTAAGAAATTCTTCCCTACTCCAAGATGTTCACTTCCATTTTCTTCTGGTTGGATGTCCTACTCACAGAATACCGCTGATGTCGAGGGGCTCATGCCCGGGACCCACAGCAGGGGTGGGCAAGCTGCAAGCATGCCTTGGTGCCACAGGACCCTCACATAAACATCCTGAGCAGCCTTCACAGTACCATTGCTTCAACCCGCACAACAGTGGCCACTGGGCGCACACGATCACTCCCGTGCCACTCCCCGCCTCTGCTCTGGGTCACGGGCCTTCGGGATCCACGTGAGGTGGAGGGGACACATCCGGACAGAGTGGGCACTGCCCCCAATCTGGGGTACTTGCAATACTGTGACCAGCACAGAGCTGTCTGCTCACCACATGCCAGGGTCTGCCAGGGACCGTCTCACAGCTAGTGACAAACTGTCCTGTCAGGGCCACAAAGCAGCACTTTGTGATGCCATGGTAGTCTGCATCCTCCCAGGGCAGAGCTCCAGGCCGATCTGGTCAACCCGGCCACTGTGGACAGTGGAGCCACAGTCGGGACTGGGCTGGCCATGGAAGTCAGTGTGAGAATGGCAGCAATCTCCCTGGCGTCGGCCAGGTCCACACATGCCTCCCCAGGAGGGCAGCTGGGCAGGGCCGGATTCTACAGAGTAAACTGGGCAACCCGCAAAGCCTGGCCAGCACCCAGGCAGTCTCCACAGACACCCGCCTGGGCCTGATTTTCCTGTTCGCAGCCTCCCATGCCCGCCAGCAGGCCTTTGATAAATATGCAGTAGCTCTGGCCCCTGAGACCACGTTTGAAGGACATGCTTAAGCAGTGAAGTGAAGAAAAGTTGACCGGCTTTGAAAGGAACCCCGTCTTCAGCCTCATTTCTGCTCATGGTTTGGTTTGAGAGTGTCCCCAGGGAGCCACCCACCTGTGCGTCCAAACACCTGAGATGGATGCTTGGGTTCTCTGAGCCCTGCTGTCAGGGAAGAGGGAAGCAGAAGTCAGGCTTTAAGAGGTGACATTGGTAAATGTGGTATTTAATTGATATTTTAAAACACCAAAGCAGATAGACTAGCATCGGGGCTTTTTTTAAAAAACAAGGTGCTGAATTAAAAATTTGCATCTCCCATCAGAGGAGAGAGCCTCTTCTCCATCTGTGGTCCCGCCTGAGCAGTGTCACAGTCTGGGAGCTCTCTGCCTCCATCCCCTGTCCCTCTCTGTTATCAGACTTCCCCACACCATGGTCTCCCCTCTCTCTCTTCCCACAGACCACAGTTCCAACTATTTTGAGTATAAAGATGCCTGTTTAACTCAAAATACTTGACAGATACCCCCGTTATAATAGACTTATGTGGAGTCCAGCATTCCTTAGACTTGTATAGAGCATCCAGTGAGTGAGAAACTACATAATGATTAAGGTGGCTGAGAATTCAGTGAGCACATTAAGTGCAATGATATTTTATTTATCAAAGAAACTTCTAGGCATCTTTGAAAAACAATAGTGCACAGAGGTGCAAGGCGTGCTGTTCGTTGAGTCCACAGACAGCCCAGAGTATGTATAGGGGTTTGCAGGCCCCATACTAAAGCTCCAGTTTTTTGAAAGGAGCCCTAGCATTCTCAGGCCTGGGGCATTCTCTGGGTTCCTGTACGGAGAGAACTAGGGTTATGGACTCAGGCCTCCAGGGCACCTGGTAAAAAGAGGGTTTGGCCCAGGCTGCCTGCTGCTAAGCAAGTCCGCATCAAGTCTGGCCATGAGTGGAGGACTGGTTGGAGTCAGAAGTTCTTTCCCATTCTGGGGTTTGAGACCCTTTGGAAGTTTCCCCTGAAAAGTACATTTTGCAATTCCAGTGATTCCCAGAATCCTGGAGTCCCTCCTTAGGCATCATGGACCCCACTGGCAGTCCACTGGGTCGGGAGATTTTAGAAGTCCTTCTAGTTCTAAGAGTCTTATGGTTGATGATTAGTTTAGAGCCTGCTGGATTTTGATCCCCTGGCAGAGCCCTTTTGCCTGTCTTAGCCTCTTTATCTACCACGAACATGTGTGGTCAACCAAGATCATGGAGGGTACCATGGGGCCACCTTGTGCTTCTGTCCTGAAATTGCACCTTTTCTGGGGCCCAGCTCAAGTCCACCACTTCCCATCCCCAAACTCTCTGAACTTCGTTTCCTACCACATTTTCACGTGCTTACTTGCCCAGCCACTCTGGGATCCTTACATTCTCACCTCAGGAACTTTGTATGAGTCTTCCGACTGCCTGGAGGTTTGATTTTTTTAAGCCATTTATGCAAGTGCAGTTTAAAAGATTGTATCATGAATCAAAAAAAGCAGTTTTTATGCACTTTTGTCATTTGGCCTCAAATTGAGAAAATACCACATGAGTACATCAAAGAATTTTTTTAAATGCGAGGCAGCTTTGGGGGAATTGTAACGAAGATTATAGAGGCTATATTAGTCAGCTCTCATTAAGATTTGCTTCAATAACAAACAACCAAACCAATCAAAATCTCTGTGGCAAACAGCAACAAAAGTATTTACCCTCAAGTTACTTATTCCCTGTGAAACAGCCATGGCTCTGCTCCATGAGGCTTCTTCACTGCAGGATGGAGTTACTAATGAGTGCCGGGCAGTTTTTTCTCACTTTTACCCACCTCAAAGAGAGGACGACACTGGACACTGGATGAAGGAGCCAGCAGGCCCCCACTTTCCTCACATTAACAGCCTTTATGAGGAAAGGAAGGCTAAAGGGCTGTGGAGTAGCAACTTCCTCCAGCTACAGGGATGCTAGGCTCTGCCCTTGCACAGCAGGACCAAAACTGTCACTGCCCCAAAGCAGGAGTGGGCTGCAGCCATGGTGGAGAGACAGGAGGCCCAGGCTCATCCAACCAGCTTACACCCGCGCCCAAGTTCCAGACCTCTCTAGTCTGATGCCACAGCAGGGAGCAGGAGGGCTTCTGGATTCCAGAAGGCTTCAGGCAGAGGCAGCGAGAGGGAGGAAAGGAAGAGTTGTAGGGCAAGCAGAGGCCCAGAGGAGAGAGGGAAGGGGCTGGGCGGCACCTGCGTGGGCTGTGGCAGCTCACCCCGAGACCCCAGGCTTCCTCAGTGCAGACCAAGCCAGGCCAGCACAGTCAGTCCCGGCCGCTGTCTCCTTGAAGGAGGTGCCCTGAGCCTGTAGTTAACCTAACCTTCTTCCTAGCCCCTCACCTGGGCCTCTTCCCGCAGCAGAACAGGCATTAGAACAGCCCACCTGGAAAAGCGATGGGCTATTTGCTTCCTTCCCTTG